TGTCATCAAACCGGTTCTGAGCAGTTTAATAAGGCTGCACAGAGTGGGACTAAATCATAAATCATAAGAACTGCTGTGCTGGATCAGATCAAAGCCCATTTAGTCCAACATACTGTTTTCAACAGAATCCGGCCTGCCAGATTCACTGGGGAGCTTACAATTCAGCGTGGAAGTGGTTGCCATTCCCTTGTTTTACCGTAGAGTATACTGCTTCTGTATGTGGAAGCTATGATAGCTAAAGCTATTCGCTAACCTATCCTCCATGACAAAGTAAAAAAAAATTCCTTCCAGTAGCACCTTAGAGACTAACTAGGTGCTACTGGAAGGATTTTTTTTTATTACTACGGCAGACCAACACGGCTACCTACCTGTAACTAGAACTATCCTCCATGAATGTGTCCAATTCCCTTTCTTAAATACACCTAGGGGAACCTTCACATTCATAGGTGCCAATTCTTAGGGGCTAAGGTCCCATTGGCCCCCCAATAAATATCTGAGAGGGCTGGGGAGCCCAAAGTTGATGGGCATTGCCATTCTTTTTTTTTTTAAATCATATTTATCAAAATTTTCAGAAAACAGAAAGTAAAGATAATACAAAAACAGAATGCATTTAAGACCTTATTTTCATGATCCACTTTCTGGGACTCCCCCCCCTCCCCCATCCCTGCCGTATTCCCCTTTCATTTCGTTGGCTCAACAAGCTCTCCCTCCTAATTTAAACTTAATTTGTTTAACCCAATATTCAAATTTAAACTTATACAGTCCTCATCATTATCCTTTATAAAAAACAAAAGTTCTCTCCCCGAGGTCCCCCCCATTTTCCTTCCACGAATTCCCTTTTCTTTTTTTAATAAAAACCCCCATCAAAGTATATAAAGAAAAACAATATAAAGATATAAGAAGATAAAAGGTATATAGAAAAAAGAATTCAAAAAATAGTTGCAAGCCTTTGGATTCTAGTTCTCCCCCCCCCTTCCCCGGTTTGGGTTCCCCCTGTCCACCAATCTATGTTATCTGCCTGGAATTCTTAGATCCATAATCAGAATTTTCCCCCAGTCCCTTGCCAATTTTTCCTTTTTTAAATTTAAAGTTATTTTTATAATATTTAACTTCAAGTCTCCAATCTTTGATCTTTAAGGCTCCCCCCATTGTTCTTTCTGTTGTAGTCCAGTTTAATCTTGTTCCGCTGCAAAGCGTTGTAATTCAGAAGTTTAGTAACTCTACAGGGGATTTTGTTATTCAGGAACAAAAACTTGCGTTCAGTCCCTTCCTTTCTTCAATAGAAAATTCTATTGTCTCCTTTAGTGTAAACACCCCTGTAGACATAATACTGTTTCAGTTTTGCAGCTTTCCCAGAAGATAACCAGTCCTGTACAGTTCCGAAGGTATTTTTCCACTTGCGACCATCTTTGTAATGTCCCGAAACTCCTCTAGGGGGATTGTTATAACTTTGTTTCCTCTAGTCCAAAAGTCTAGTTGTTGTTCCATGTTTTCGTCATTTTGTATCCGAATCTTAACAAATTGTAACAGATTTAACCAGCAAAGTCCTCAAAACAGAGTCCTCTTTAAATTTTTTCGGCTTTGACAGCTACTTTGACAGCTGTCAAAGTCCCCGTCTCTTTTCACCAGGCTCTCTCTCCACTCACCCCGGTTCCCAGGGGGGGGGTTACGTTTTCCTTCTCCCTCCGCTCTTCTCCTCCAGCACAGTTTCTTGTAGTTTCCCATCGTGGAAGTCTTGGTTTTTATCAAAATTGCAGTTCTTTCGAGACCTTGGTTGCCCGGTCCTTGTTTTAGAATGTTTACAGTAGGGAGGGGGACTGACTTCCTTTTTGGATCCCCCCCCCCGCTCGTGCCAAATCCGAAAAAAAAATTTTTTTCTCCTTTTGAACCCGGTTTTCCAAATTACTCACGGGTTGTTGTTAAAAGTCCGAATTCTCAATGGAAGAAGTCAGCGCTCTCCGCCGGATGGCATGCGGCTTCGCTCGGCAGGGCTAGCAGAGGACTCAAAGCACCGCGCCTCTCCCCGGCACCCGATCCGTAGCCTTTAAAAAGGCTCCTTCACGAGTCGGGAGGGCGCTAACGGTGCCAGCCGAGTCACCATGTCCACGGCCTCCGTGGCCGTGGGTTTTAAGGGTCCCCGCGTCGCCGGCGCGGTAAGACCCAACCCCTGCCGAGCAGGCTCCCTCCGGAGCTCGGAGGGAGTCCGCCATTCGGCGATGGCGCCAACCCGGAAGCCCCGATGGGCATTGCCATTCAAATGGTATGTGTGCACCGCGTATTGTGATTGATTATGGGGCTTACCTGCCCCCTCAATATTTTATTTCAGTTGGCACCCCTGTTCACATTTATACCAAGCCATTTGGCAGCCACTTCTCTAATACAATATCCCATACAGCTGCAGCCACATAAGTTGGACCATTTGATGGGACTTACTCCCAAGTATGCATAGGATTTCAGCCTTTTCTTAGTAATTATGAATGTGCTCAACATAATACACAGCCCAAATGGTGGAACACTGATAGGCATAAGGTCACGGCTTGCCTCATCTATTCCCAGTTGTATTTGACTCACCATTCCTTCCATTTCGTATCTATTTCTTGCTGCATCCATATCTCTCTCCACTTTCTCAATTGTACTATCACTCTAGGCCACTGCCTCCTTCCTTCCTATACCTTGTGCTTGAAGAAATCCCCACAGAGTTGTGGTACTTGCAACTGTTTGCTGGTCTGCCAGCAACCAGGATGCTGGGATCAGACCATGAAGGTTGCCATGTCAACCCTCCCAGCACAGATGTACCCAACCATGGCAGCTTTTGTGTTTTTTCTTACACGTGTTGGTTGCCAGGCAAGCAAATAGTAGGGCTTTTGTGACATCAGCAGTCATTGCCCCATTGCTGCTCTTACCTCTCTCAGATATATTTACCCTTTCCTAAGTGTGTTGGTTGGGACGCGGGTGGTGCTGTGGGTTAAACCACAGAGCCTAGGATTTGCCGATCAGAAGGTTGGCGGTTCGAATCCCCGCGATGGGGTGAGCTCCCGTTGCTCGGTCCCTGCTCCTGCCAACCTAGCAGTTCAAAAGCATGTCAAAGTGCAAGTAGATAAATAGGTACCACTCCAGCGGGAAGGTAAATGGCGTTTCTGTGCACTGCTCTGGTTCACCAGAAGCGGCTTAGTCATGCTGGCCACATGACCCAGAAGCTGTACGCCGGCTCCCTCGGCCACTAAAGCGAGATGAGCGCCGCAACCCCAGAGTCGGTCACGACTGGACCTAATGGTCAGGGGTCCCTTTACCTTTACCTTTAAGTGTGTTGGTTATGAGGCACACAAATAAGTCTGTGTTAAGGATAGTATATTTGTAACAGCTCCCAATGTCACAAAGGCAAGGGGAGCCAGTGCCATTCCCCTATACACTTTCTGGGAAAGGAATACCTTGGGGAGGCTCTCTCCCAAGTGTCACAAACATAATTATATTCCCCACCCCTTCAAATTTTTAGACAATTTATTTCTGTGGGAATCAAAAATATCTATCTGCCCTACTAGACAATATTCCTTTCCCCATGCCATAGTTCTAATTATGGACCTTAATCAAATGCAAATCAAAAGCTCTGCTGGTCAATCCAAATATCCTGTTATTGGCCTATATTTCAAAATGAGTTGAAACAAACCCAAACCATTTGTCTGTCACAATTTAAGCAGAAGAACCATGCACATAATTGGATGTTTCGCTGAAGTTCATCTGCACGAACTGCTGAAGAGACAAGCCATATCTCCAGTTGAAAGGTGACTGGCCTCTTCAACAATGTGAAATGTTGCCATAGGATTTTTTTGTTTTAAAAAAATCCACCTGCCTGCACTCACATATAGCTTTGTAGATATATGAGTAGCCACTGTGTCCTCCTAATGTTGAAATATCTTTTATTTTAATATCCTGAGTTATCTCATCATTGAACATTCAGAATTGGGGCATTTCTGTGCAATAAGCCAAATTATTCATACATCTTTTTAGCTTTATGGACAATATTCCTGCAAATCCTTTCCAAGGTAAATAGCACAATATCCTGTATATAATAAATTGGGGGATAGTTTTATTCCAAGGGACAGAAGCTTGCTTGCAGATTGGCGGGGCGGTACTTCCACTGTTTGCTCTTTTCAAACAAATTTACTATGCAGTGCAATCCAGTGCAAGAAAAGGAAAATGAATAGGTTCCAAATAAATAACTAAATAACTAACACATTGGAGCACTGTTATATAGAGATGTGGAAACAGAGAAGCTATGCTCGCTGGTATTCACCACCATAAAAAGTAACTCAGCTAGGAAATCAAGTCTGTGTCCGTGCAACTCTAAGGGCTGTACTATTCATTGCCACTGACGTCACAAACTATATTCAGTAGAGAGTTGTGTAGAGTAGCAATGAATGCTCTCTCTGGGGTACAAGAACCACATTTTACCAAATGCAAACTATACCTGGAGAGCTGGGGAAATGCAATGTTTTTCTGCAACAGGTGGATAACCTTACGTCAAACCATGTGGCCTTTGTGTTAAATAGTACCAACAACAAAAACAACCCACCCTGCATTCATTACATTAAAAACTGTGCAGAAAGAGCATTGGTTAACTAAGGGAGACCAAGCCAAATGCAAACTACCAGTCCACTATTGGCTCAATAAGCCTCCTGTTTTTTTATACCTGCCTGGAAGTAAAAAAACAAAACAAAATGAGGAAGTTGTTACATAGCTGGCAAGCCTGCATGCAATTCAGTGGGTCAAAAAGTTGGGCAAGTCTCACCTAGGGCCTTATTCGTGCTAATATCCTAATTGCCTAAGATTTTAAAAAGTGTATGTTAGCTTTTCCACCTGCATGGGCTTTGGTGTGGGCCTGAGCAGAATTAGACTGATTCCCGGTCTATCTGGGTACAGCCAGGGTACTCCCGCCATAACTGGGGAATCTGCTTCATACATGAAAAAGTATGAGACAGGAGTTTGGTATCCTAAGAAATTACCTGAAAAATGACTGCCTGGGGTTGCACCAAGTATTGTCTCATCAGCATGGAGCACCACTGCCATAGCATGAAGGAGAAAAAAAACAGAAATGTAAGGAGAATATATATTTTTTTAAAAAAATGAGTGCAGTGAGAACTTAATAAATATATAAATACTAAATATTGTATTATGAAAGCACTCTCTTTTTCCATAATTCTTCTGCCCCAATCTACTTAACAAGAAACTGACATATAGTTAAGCATTGCGTGGCGACCTGAAAGAGGAACTGCAGCTATGGTGTACAGGCCTAGCTATCTCAAACTGCCCAAGCTTGTGACAGGAATATCATTCGAAGGATGGTAAGCCTGCAAAAACTGTGACCCATAAAACTGAACACAGTCCATTAGCTATGCATTGTGGTTTGCCATTGTGCTTGATAACCCCAGTAGGCAGCAAAAGTAAGAGGTTTATCAAATCCCTGATGGGCCACCATACTTGGCTGATGGGCTCTGCTAAGCTTAGTGGGTCACAATTTGCACCAGCCTAAGGTACGCGTTTCACAGCAAAAAGATGAATGCTCCAAAAACACATACAGGAGGTAGCAATAGATGAAGAAATCTGTGATACTCTTAGGGATAAGCTATAGCTCATTCAGACATCCTTTGCTTGCAAGAGAACCCAAATCTGACTATCGCTGGACAAAAGGATTCAGGGAACCTGCAGAGAGCTTCAAGAGCTGCTGCAAAATTCACAGACAGTACTCCAAATGTACTAGCAGACCATGGCCTGACTAAGGGTTAAATCTCCTGCATCTGCTCATAAGAATTTGCCCTGGGATGGCAGCGTATACATCAAGCCGACACAACATGTTAGCTACAAGGCTAGACTCAGTCCTCTAGTTATGCCTTGTGGTCTGCAAGGCACTTGCCAGTTGCTGTATTTTCACAGCCCTGAGCAGGCAGGAAAAAACAGGAGGGGCATCTTGCAGGGACATCAGACCTTGCTGGTGGGCTGCATTTGACCTGGGCTGGAGGATCACTATGTATGCAAAACTATTTAAATTCATGATGGCTTTCCTCCCACTTCTCTCCCCATCCACCCCCACCACCCACCTTGAAACTGGCTTTGGGAAGTAAGAGAACCTGCAGAATGGCACACAGGGGAGAAGCACTATCGTAGCTAGGAGGCAGGAAGTGGACCACCCTGGGCTGTACTTTGGGAGGGCAGGGAAAGAAGAGTTTGCAGCAAATTTACCGCCCCTCTCCTGCCTTCTCTCTTGGGGGGGGCGCCCTGCACACACACCCCAGGCAGTGATAACATACGCTCTGCCACTGGGGAGAATCCAGGAAGCTAAAAAACTAGTGCTGACAGAACGATTGCCATAGTCCTACACTGAGTTCATCCCTATGACTTAGTGAACTACAGTCTCCTCTTGAATGTGTATGTTAGTGTCTCCTCCACCCTGCCAGACTCAATTGAATAAACGTGTATATGTGCCATATAGAGGTATCTGAAAACTGGGGAAATCTGCCCTCTTTTATTCTTTCTAAAATGAAGCTTCGTAATTCCCTCTGAAACAGGAGTGATAAGATCTCAGGTTTTTAACCCAGAAAATGTCATTTGCAGGCTGTTATGCCTGACAACTTTGAAATTAAACGTTTGAATTAACTGTCAGAAATGTCTAAATAAAAAGCCATCATTTTGATTTTTGAACAATTAGAGAAACTTTTTACTGAAATTATTCTTCAAATGGAATATTCAGTGTGAATGGAACATTCAGTTGATTGACCAGCACTTAATTTTAACACAGAAGAAAGAGGACATCTAAAACAGCTTTGCTTCCAGCAGCCCTTTGGGGTACCTTTATCCTCATGATATCCCTCAAATAAAAATAAAAAGAAATGTGTTGCAATCCAGCTTAGTCGGGGGGTGGGGTGTATAAACAGGAGTAAGCTGTGATCACATATCACTATCTGGATGAGGCCTCGGGGCTGTGTGTGTAGTTTTCTCCAAATTATCACAGCACCAATCAGCTGTTGAAGAGGATGAAGTAGGCACTCCTTGACAAACTGTGAACATTTTCTGACAGGGTTAGGTACAAATAGCCCTGGTTGTTCCAGGGTGTTCCGCAAGTGCATCTGGGGTGGGGGGTGGGGTTTATGTAGATAGAAGATGATAGATAGATAGATAGATAGATAGATAGATAGATAGATGAGAGAGAGAGAGAGAGAGAGAGAATCTGTAAAATCATGCATACTTCCCAAAAAATAAGGGGACAGTCTACATCTACATTAGAATTGTTTTAAAGATGTTTAAGGTGTATGTGTTTTCTTTTTAAAATATTTTTAATTTGTTTTATCACTTGTTGTTTGCTGCCATGGGTTACTTTGGCAGGAAGGGCAGGTAATGTAATGTAGTAAAGGTAAAGGTACCCCTGCCCATACGGGCCAGTCTTGACAGACTCTACGGTTGTGCGCTCATCTCACTCTAGAGGCCGGGAGCCAGCACTGTCCGCAGACACTTCCGGGTCACATGGCCAGCGTGACAAAGCTGCTCCAGCAAACCAGCACCAGAGCAGCACACGGAACGCCGTTTACCTTCCCGCTATAAAGGGTACCTATTTATCTACTTGCACTTTGACGTGCTTTCGAACTGCTAGGTGGGCAGGAGCTGGGACCGAAAGACGGGAGCTCACCCCGCCGCGGGGATTCGAACCGCCGACCATGTGATAGGCAAGTCCTAGACGCTGAGGTTTTACCCACAGCGCCACCCACGTCCCAATGTAGTAATATAATGTAAATCAAAGTGTTCTGGTATATTCTCCTGCACAAGCCCTATTGAGATGAATGAGGAATGTGCAGGTGCAGCTCCTGGGAGATTATGCTCCTAAGTGCTTAGCGCAAAACCTTTTCCTCAACTATGGTACAAAACTTGCATTAGATGTAGAACAGAACATAAAAAGATCTAGAAGGAAAATGGCATCTTTACTGTTTATTAGATCACTTTTTCCAGTAACATGTCTACACAAAAGAGATGTTGATTTTGGCCTTGGAGACATGGGTCAAATAATATTGTCAACAACATACAATATAAGCTTTCATTTAAAACACTCTTCTGACCCTGGAGGCCGAGGAGAGTTAAGAGGTTAGATCCCCGACCAACACATTCTCCATGGCTTATAAATTCACTCCCCTCATCTCCAGCAAGTGAAAATAGATGCTAGATTAGGGGCACTTCACCATTACTGTAGACTTCCAACAGTGAGTGACCTGTTCAAACAGACCGAATATTAAGTAGGCTACCTGCCGTGTAAAACTGGTTGCCCATCTGACCTTGTGACATCACAGTAGAGGTAAATACTGTAAATTGTAAGTCCCCCCCCTTTTTCCTCACATAGACTTTAACACTTTTCTGTCCAGATCATTCATGAAATCCCTGGATTATACCCACAAAGAATTCATTATTCTTATTTCAACAGCCAATGTATCTGTATCCTCAATTCCAAATCCCCATTTAAATATAGGCAAAATAATTTGTTTATACACATTCATCATCAGGTAATTATTGCCTACAATAATTTGGAGGCTTGTTGGAAAGGCACATAAAAACATACATGCAATTTGTGATGCACTACTTATATGGAGAAGCAGTATTTACAGGTTGCAAATGTAGTTGTTTGTTGAGTCATTTGAATGGCTCCCCATTCTCTTTGCCTACTGAAGTTATTCTTTTTAACATCGTAGCAAGAAAGAAAACAGTATTCCACAGTTTTATTCACTATAAAAATAATAGTTTCTATTTTCTCTTGTTTGGCTTATATATAATACGGTTGGTCTTCATTCCCAAATATATATCTCTTTGGAAATTTGAGGCCAAGTGCTCTCTGTTAGCCATGTTTGATATCTTTCATCAATATATAATTCATACTTTGGAACCACAAAATTGGACATAGTACTATTTTTACTGTATTTTTAAGATGTGTAACTCATTCTGTTTCTGGTCCATGTCACTTTCACACGTGTTCACCCATAACTGTCATCTGCAGCAGCCATTCCATCTGGTTATGAGAGAGTGAGATAGATGGGGCTTCAAGGCCTCTCCACCTGCTCTGCAAAAGTCTAGCTCCAACAGGTTCCTCCCTCAACTGTTATCAGAGGTGGTATAATCAGTGCTATTGTTTGTAGAAAAAGAGGTGCCAGAACTCACCACCAATGCCTCCCTCATTCTCTGATAACGACAGTGGCACCAACCTCAGTTCCAGCAAGTTCCAACTGAAAAGAAAGCCCTGGGTAGAATCCTCTGAATGACAGTTGCTGGGTAGAATCCTCTGAATGTCAGTGGGGAGAGTGCAATTGCTTGTGCACTTTCTATAGGCATCTTTAAATGGGATCCTCCTATTAGAGGCTCCTGGTTGCGCGCGGGCTCCTGGGATTCCCCCCCCCCATAGGAGTCATTGTAGGGGGAATAGCAAAAGCTCTGGCCACAGCCCCTGGATCACGCCAGGCTGTTTTAGCCAATCCCCAGAGGGTGGCATGATCTCAGGGGCTTTAAAAAGCACCAACGTGACTCACACAAGTAGGGGCACTTGCGTCGCATTGTCAAACACCCGCCTCCCTCCCTAGAATTAGGTATTCTCGCCTGACCTTGCTTTGCTTTGGGTCACCTGTTTTGGAACGGGATGGGTAGGAATTTTTTCCAAGTGGCAAATTGGCTCTAGTCACTTGGTTTTTGCCTACCCCTCAGCAAATAATCACAACTTGTAAATTGGCGGTTAGGCATTGGCTCAGTTGGATTGAGGGGAGGGGAGGTGTGGCCATCACCTGCCCCTCCAGGAACTGGGTATTCCATTAAAGGAATCTGGGGGTGCTGGATCTCGTCCAAAGCCCACTTGAGGGTCTAGGGCCATGCCAGGACCACATGAACCCCGGGGTGAGCTTCAGTTGGTCCACATCGACGTTGCTCTCTCGTTTGGTTTACCCCATTAGACTATCACCCAGAGAGGTGGAGTCAGTTATAGTCGAGAGTCAATGCCTAAGCCAATACCGCTCACGTGATTGTAATTTCAATAAAGTAGTGG